TCGCACGTGCTGGAAAGGGCTTGACTGTATTCCGGAGAGAGAGAGAGAGAGATCATAAGAACGGCTCTTGCTTTTTTCTCGCAAGGGCCGGGCACTGGGGGCTTGCAAGGGAGAGAGCGACTCCTGCCTCCCACTGTCATCATCATCTTCTTCTTTTGGGTTAGTGAATCAATTAATTCGGGAAACGATCTCACTATCATGAAAGTCAGTGTTCCCTGCCCATGGGGCGTTTAGAAGAAAACATGCCGCGGCATATCCACGCGCATGTAAGGGGAATCAGAAATCCCCACGTTCAACGCCTAGCACAGCAGAAGAGAAAATGCAGCTGTGAGCAAATACTGGGAAAACCTGATTGATCAGAAGGAAGGAGGCAAAAGAGGGAGGGGTGGTGGTGGACGGAGGTCCCACTGGTATTTGTGAAACACTCGGTCGGCAGCGCTTAAAGTCAACGTCCTCGTTCCCACCCACCTACCCACCCAAAGCCACGAAGTCCCCCAATCATGCAGCCCAGAATCGCCCTCCCCTCAGGGGGCAGCAACGACGCCCAGTGTTTCCTGAGACAAGAAGCTCCGCCGTGCAATGAAAGCGCCCTGGCTCTAGGCTCACGGGCTCAGAAAACAACGTGAGCCACCGCCACCACCTCCTCCTCCTCCTCCCAAGCGGACTGAAAGCAGCTGGGGCTGAGGAAACGAAGCCATCTCAGCTCGCGTTGTTTTCTGAGCCCGCAAGCCTAGAGCCTAGAGCTCAGAAAACAACGCGAGCCACTGCCACCACCTCCTCCTCCTCCTCCTCCTCCCGAGTGGACTGAAAGCAGCTGGGGCTGAGGAAACGAAGCTACCTCGGCTCGCGTTGTTTTCTGAGCCTAGAGCCAGGGCGCTTTCATTGCACGGCAGAGCTTCTTGTTTCAGGAAACACCGGGCGTCGTTGCTGCCCCCTGAGGGGAGGGCGATTCTGGGCTGCGCAATAGGGGGACTTTGTGGCTTTGGGTGGGTGGGAGCGAGGACGGACGGAGTCCGCGAAGCGGGGCTTGCCTGCCCTTGCTGGCTGCCTCTGCTTCCTTAGGGGCGAGGAACGGGGCTCATCTGGATCAAGGGTGAGTCTCCCCCTCAGTTTCCCCTGAAGGATCTTCCGTCGCTTTTGCCTTCTCCCTATGTTTTCCCTCTGTTAAAATCCACACACACACACACACATTTTCAGGCGGATAGATTTTGTGTCTGAGCATTCTCACATAACAGTGGGTCTTTTTCCCTCCCTAAAAACAGTTAAAGAAAGAAAAAAACAATATATCCTCATGCAAGAACTTTTCTGCTTCCGATTACCCCCATGCTTACAAGTTGCAAAGGAAACACGGAAGCAGGGAAGCGGCTGCCCAGCTCTGGAGCTCCACACCATTTTTTTTTCAGAGGGAATCTCACTTGAGTATAAGCCGAGGGGTTTTTTTTCAGCACCAAAAATGTGCTGAAAAACTCGGCTTATACTCGAGTATATACGGTAATTTTCCATTTTGAACTTGATCTCTCTACTCATCCTATTATACATGAAAATATAGGTTTAAAGAAAATAGAGAATAAAGCCATTTTTGAAGAGGGAATTTCAAGTATCAAAATAAAAACATAATTACTAAGAGAAAAACAGACTTCATATAGTACTGCTGAACAAAATCTCTTAACAGAAGGAATAGTTTAGCCGATCCATGAAGAACTAGTCCATAAATACTGTAATATAGGTTCCTAGGTAAATGATTCCATGCATAAGAAAATTGGACAAAAACTGGATATGGGATTGAGTGCATTAGGGATCATTATTGTACTTGATCTCTCTCCAAAAACTTTTTACATATATTCTAAAAACTATTATTTGCCCTTCTGTTTGGAACGAAATTTTTACATGAATACCAGTATTTTAAAAACAGGTATTCCCCCTTCAGTCAGAAATAATACATAGCAGAATTCTACCATCTAGTTTTTTAAATGTGATTATGAAGATTTTTTTAAAGACAGATCTTATCTTCTTAATAACTCTCACATCCGAAAGGTAGCAAACTACTTATTTTTCATGCTTACTAAAATGGCACACCTAAAGGGCGTAAAGAATGGATAAGGTCATGTGGGCTCCTACAAAGAGGTTCTTAGATTTTCTAACTCCTATAGATTCTGAGAAGAGCCAACTTCATTTACTCAATACATATGCCATTATAACAGATAATTTTCCCTCATGATTCTTATTCACCAATATTTATTCTTACCTGATCCAGCATGTCCAACATATTTGACAAGACACTTTCCTGTCTCTATGCACCACAGCAAAGCAGTATGATCTGTGAGAATTAAAAAAAAAGAATTGAGGAATTAAAATGATGGGATGGATGGATAGATGTGGATGAATAGGTAGATGGACATTTCAAGATGATAAATAAGGTAGGTGGGTGGGTGGGTGGGTGGCTAGGTAGGTAGGTAGGTAGGTAGGTAGGTAGGTAGGTAGATAGATAGATAGATAGATAGATAGATAGAAACCTAGACCATAATCTGTTCTTATCTAATCATTAGAAATGCAAAATACAATCTGTGGCTGAAACAATAGATAAAATTATTACCAGCTGATGCTGTCCCAAGGACCACAGGTTGAGTTTTTGTGACACTGACATCCCAAATGCCATCTCGATGACCAATATACTCTTTCACTAGCTGACATATTGCTCTGGATGTTGTTGTTTTGAAACTGGAGACTATCTAAGGAGACAAAAGGCAGGTATCTGATAGGTAGAGAAATTACCCCCAAACTCTTGCAACACACAGCATAAGACCCATTGAAGCACTGCACTGTAGCAAATCAATGGATGCATAAGCTTTAGCATATTCTCTGGGACCAAATTTGTCCTAGGATGCTGTTCTATGTAGATACAACAGACGAATTTGGCCAGATTGAATCTTTTTAGGATATCATAAAAGCATACAACTCTTCTGATATTTTTTCATATCTTATGATAATACAAGTGGGTATAATCTGCAGAGCTCTTTTTCTTCTATATGTTGTATGCACCATACAAGCCATCTTACTAAACAGAGCTAGCTCAAAGGGATTAGGGGGGGAAGAATGAAAAAGATGCATAAAAATTCAAAGCTCAGAGCCATATGAAGTAGTATTCATATTAACTTGGAAGTTCAGACCAATTCCTTTTGTATGACAATGAAATGTTTTTTTTCAAGAAGTACCAAAAATAATACAATCAAAATTTTAAAATCATAAGAGAAACATGAAAGCAAGAATGACTTATTTTACTATCTCTAGAGGAATAACTGTATTGGGTGGACAGAAGAAAACACTCTCAAGTTGGAACTGCTATATTTTTAAAAAAAATCAGCATGGATAAGCAAGCAGTAGTTCACACTTTAAGTGACACAGCCTGTGTGCAAGGATTAGCAGTGCAGGACTATCAGTTTACTGGATTAGGTAAATGCTGGGTCACTGAACTGGAAGAAGTAAATCAGTAATATTTGCTGGCTGGAGCAAACTAAGCTAATATGAGCTATACTAATGTGGCCACCTGAAGTATTTTTATGCAATAATTGGGTTCTCTTTAATGGGTAGAAAGCGGGATCCATGAGTGATGCAGTAGCATAATGAGCATGAATGAAGAACCATCAGTTAGTAGGGCCTCAAACAAGGTCTCACCCTCAGGTTCCACACTATTCTCTAGATTCTTACTCTATCCTACCAAGAGCTGCCAAAATGGTTTGAGAAAGAACAAGAGACTAGGGTACGGCCAGCATTGTAGTCAATTCCCCCTGGAGGATGTGGAAGAATGTCTCATTTTAGCCACTCAACTTCCCTCATCAGAAAAAGGTACAAAGTGGTCAAAGTCTTTTTTCATCCACAACAGAGTGGAGAAAACTACTAGTAGTTCTATACTTGGTCTTTCAACGGCTATCTTTGTCTTTGCATGTTAACAAGCAGCACCATCCCATACAAAATGCTTTTTTCCCCTTTTTGACCCTGATGTTTAATATTATCCAATCCAGATAAACAGATTGGGACTAGAGCTAACCTTTATATCAGATATACATCTTCATCATTTAGTGTTTGGACAGAAATCATGTAAGAACTTTGCTATGTCGTTTATATAATTTACGCTAATATCTGCAGCCTTTCAACTACATTTACTCAAGCTGCTGGATCAAATTCTAGATCTACCTACCACCCAGTACTGTACTATCAGTAGATACTCTATATATAGAACAATACCACCTATTTGGACCTATTGTGTAGGCATCAAGAAATCACTGTGGAAATTGTTGTTTATGGTATGCTATAGTTGGGAAGTTGGCTAGATTGTGGTAATTAGTGAAGACTTGCTAGACAGGGACAGAGAGCAGATTGCTGTTCCAGGACTGCAAAAAGCTGAGTTAGTTATGAAATATGAAATAGTGTGCCCTCTGAAAATCCATGCTGAACTGCATCACTATTCCCATTGTATCTATCTTGGCATATCCATTCAGAGTTCCGAAAGATGAATGTGTTTCTATTCATTCAGAATTTATGACAAATTTTGCTACCATACAATATTACAGTTAATATAAAAATAAGGGGGGGATCCAATTGATTTCTTCAGCACTACACTGTCCTACCTTCTCAAAGTCATTGTCAAACTTTCATACTAGCTTTATGCCATCTAAGCATGAGTATCTATATTCTGAAATAAAGGTAAAACTTCCTGAGGCTTTTCGCCAAGCATTGGAGTAAGGGAATGATATAAAAACCAATGGGTTGTGACTCATTTTCATTGTACTGATTTTAATGACTCTATGTTAAGTATCACTAAGCTGGATCTAGCAGATTTCATAGTAAACTGAGGTATGCGACTGTCTAATATGACAAAATATTCATGTAATTGTGAAGTATAGAATTCCAAGAGTATTTCAATAGCAGTGAAAGATTATAGTTGGATACCTTTGCCACAGTAAATGACTAGGTATATACTGTACGCAATTTTTATTTTAAAATGATGTAAATTCTAAAATCATCCTAGAAATGAGAATCAACTAGTTTTTTTTTAAAAAAAGCCTGATTAAATCAAAATGAGATTAAATTAATTAAATTTTAAAAGGTATTATCTGATCATCAAACATAGCAAAACATCTATCACATATTGTTATTGAAAATATTCTTAGGAACGTTTGGTGATTAAAAAAAATAAGGCATCTTATATTTGTTCAATTAAAATTTCAGGAGGAAAAAAATAAATTTAAGGAGTAGAAAAAAGCTGCAACAATATGGTTTTCAGCTTTTACTTCTTTATTTATCTTTACAATAATGAAATGAGACTTATATGGAACTATAATTTAGTTATTAATGAGAAGAATTGTTTCCAAGCCAGTATAAGCAATAATTACTACAGATGCACTGCAAAAGGAACAGGTTAATTCTTGCAGAACTAGGAAAGGATTAGTATTGGAACCATAGTGTAGCATTAAGCATAAAACTGTCAAGGCAGTATTAAAATTCAACTGAAATTTAATACACATCTTCAAACAAAATGGAGTTATGTAAGAGTAGTGGAACAGTAGAATATATTATCACAACAGGTCTCCCATACCTTATCAGTCTTAATAAGACATAGTGAGGAATAAAATGAATTACCAAACTGTTTTAGTTTCCTCATAAAATCTTCTACACCCCTGTAATTGACTAGTTTAATTTTCAAGGGCTACAGTGTTTTCCCCCTCTTCCTTTAAAATATTATCTTTAATGCTACTTCATATTTTGAGTTTCCTTTTACTTTTAAAACAATAATGGAAGTGTCCTTTCATATATCACAAACAGCAATGGGACAACATCAAAACTTTCTATTCTACTTCAACCCATGAATAAAGGGGCCAGCCACTGTCCCAGTGCAATAGTCACCAAGTTATGTTCAGCAAGCAGAGCCAGGGAATCATACTAAACCACTACTATTAAAATTTCCATTTCAATTCTTAGCGTATATACATAGACAAGAGTTTAGAAATGCCCCATCTTACACTACAAAATGGGAGTTTTTTACACTACAAAATGGGTATGTTCCTTTCAAAAATATGACTTATAAATATGGGTGTTCCTAAGGAAATCTAATCATGTGATAATAAAGTCAAGGCGATGTTGTTTAACTAGTTGCACATTCTGTTGACTAATCTGAAGCAAGTAAACACATTCTGAGAGCAGTACATGATACTGTGCACAACAGAAGACAAAACTAGACTGTTTCCTGTCTAGCAAATGAGATAGTTCCCTCTTCAAATGCTCAAAGTTTTCAAATGCAAATTCGCCATACTTTCTTATAATAATCATCCTGCTCACCATTTCAGTCTGGCAAGTTAATACAAGAGGAATTTGTACTGTAGACTCCTGTAACAACTCCTTGGGCTTTCATTTAATGATCCGTGTGTGTTTTGATCACAACCATAAGGCACAGTTCTTAAAGGAAGACAAATTTACAGTCCCAAAATGTCAAAAATCTCATTCAAGGAACTTGCAAGAAGAGCAGGCAACCTCTTGGTAATTGAAGGTTGACTTTTTCATTATTTATTTTGAGATAGTGAAATCCCCAAGAGCATAACTCAGCATGATTAAATCCAATGTTCTCAGGTTTTCTTATTAATTTTCAAACATATTTTTCTTTTCATTTTTTTAGTTTAAAGAAAGATAAACATTTATGAGACATTCACCTCTGGGATTCAGCAGGAAGATTTGGGAACCACAGAAAATAGTGTGTTCAAAAATTATACTTAACCAACCTTTACAGATGACAATCAGTTTTAAATACAATTTGCCATGCTGTGTTCCAGGAAATGAATTATTGTTCCTGAAAACCTCACAAAGCACCTCAAATTAGTTATGCAATTCTTAGATTCCCAGTCCACACATTTTATTCTTATATTTTGTGAATTTGGTTCATGTGGATGATTTTATTATTATTCTTACAGCAATCAATAAATGCTACTATTACTACAAAGCATTATTTTAAACTTTTTCACCATACTACAACAAAAGATTGTTGAAATATTCCTATTTCTGAAACCTTAAAGGAAATTCATTCTCTTTTATGAACAGTTCAGACAATTTATAGATTTATATTATGATTTGTTAAAGAAATAGACCTAGAGAGGACCCACAAAGTTCATAATAAAGGCTCTTTGCCACCATCAAAGCTTGTTACATGGATCAGGCATTGGTGGCAAACAAATGTGAACATTTCTTCACCAAATGACTATGATATGTACAGACACTACATTATCTTTAAGAGCTACTTAAGCACTCAGATAGCAAGATATATAAAGTGTATATTTAAAATAAATATGCTTATTTATTGAACTCCTCCCTAATAAGTGCTCTGTCTTCCAAGATTTGGGAATCTGCTCAAGACATTACTGTTTAACTTAGCTTCTGGTTAATTTTTGTCTTTCGATAGTACTGCTGTTCTGCCTGCATGCAGTTCTAAGTAGGATTATCAATTTATTTATGTTTTCAGAAGTCAGATTAAATTGTTCACTAACATTTTTTTAAATCAAGTGTTTTTAACAAAGTACTTTTAAAATTAAAACTGAATTGACATCATAGCAACAAAAAAAGCAGACATAATGTGCAAACACTGTGCCAAGGAAGAGACTAAGCCTGCCGTAATTAAAACTATAGCCTACCCAATCTCAGGGATTCAAAACCATAAAAACAGTAAACAGGAAACATTTCTTCTGTTAACAATTGATATCTATACGCAATACTTAAACATGAGCAGTAGAAAGTCCTCTAGGTAAAGCACCAATTGAGAATTATAATATCCATGAAGAAAAATTGATTGAAGTGAAATTCTGTATGTTCCACCACTCACTACTGTTTAGCTGGGCATGCAAATTGGCACACTGGGAAGCAAAGCAGTTACCCAAGAGTCGCCACCCCATATTTCCCAGCTTCCCACATGGAATTTGCGAGGTCCACCTGATCTCCCTGGGAAAGAATTTGAGCGCTACATAGCAAGTAAGAAAAGATAGGCATTCAGCACTTGCTTTCAAAGAACAGCAAATTTACAATACAGAATATACATACTTATATGTGATCTAAAAACTGAAGACTCTACTTTTTAATAGATTAAAGAAAACATTAATAGAGAACAAAATGCATTTTCATCGTTGAAGTGCATAATGACAGCAATACTGCAGAAAGACAAAGGATAAAGATGTTTTCCATTAAAAATAACCCTGGCATGTGAACAACTGATGGTCAGATAGAAACAATTTTAATTTTAATTTTAAAAAATTACCTGCAGGAAATGTGTGTTTAAACTTTGTATATTGACTTTTATATGATTTACTGTTTTTATATTGTAAAGCTGCCAGGAGTAATTTATTTTGAATCTGGCAGAATAATAACAAATATATATATATATAGAGAGAGAGAGCTGTTTATTTGATCTAATGAAAACAAAGAATGTAATGATACCACAAATTCTGTATCAAGACCAGCAGATTAAAAACTGATCAAAACACCCCAAGCAACTGTTCCCCTTACTATATTTTCCAAATATGGATGTATTTGGAAGCACATCTCCCAAATTCCTAGAAAATTCTAGGAATTTGATAAACTGCTATCCTAACATACTAAGTGGATATGACTTTGGATTGGTTTATGCAGTTGGATAACCTTCTCTCCTGCATAAGTGTAAATTACTTGCAGGTAGATACATAATTTAGTAAACATTTTACAGGTGGTCCATGTTTGATAATTCTAAATATAAGTTGAATTAATGAGTTACAATAAATGCAACCCAATTTTTGGAAAACGACCTAATAAAAATGACTTTGAAGTAATGAGCAAAATGGATTTAACAAGTCTCCCATGTTATAATTAACTGCTAAAAAATTTCTCACAATAAAAATAACTTTGTTTTCTCTGTATCTTAATCAAAAAGCTTTTGACATTTACTATAAATTCATTTCATCGCTCTATTTTTTCTTAATTATTTACTGAATTATAACTAAAGGACAAGACCAAATGGCAATTCTATGATTAATCTTGATCAGCCTCCCAAAACATCTCCTATCAATCTATGCAATGAGATGGGACTACACCCGGATGGCATCAACTTCAAAAGTTCAACCTCATGAAGACAGACAGTAATAAAAAGTAAGTAAAACTAAACTGATAAGTATAGTGTAGTTCAATAAAAGGCTTGACATGTTTCATACCTTGCTTGTTGATGCCTTGTAAGTAGTCTTTAATTTCTGAGACAGCTGACTGGTACTATGGCTGGCTGTTGAAACAAATACATTTAAAGAAAGTTTGTTTTGAAACATATTGGATTTACCTTACTTGATTATTAACATCCTTCTAACTGGCTGTCATCCTAAATTATGAAAAACTAACTAAGAGAGAAATATTTTTCTCAACTCTCTTCTTACCTTTTGTTTTCAGCTGCCCCTTGCTCAATTCTGCTCCATCAATGGCTTGGCCTTCAGCTGCTAAGCGTTCATTAAGTGTATCAATCTCTCTGCGTACTATCAGTAGCACAAAAATTAATGTCAATGCAAAGAAGAATCATTAATCACGATTTTTAAATTACCACATAACCCTTATCTCAAAGGCAATTATGTGCAGGATCATAATTTCAATATCTTTTGTGTTTCTTTGCATGCCACAATTATAAAAATAATACAAAGGTAATTTAACTCTCCATATCTAGAATAAACTCTGACAATGGGTCTTAATTCTAAAGTACTGCTTCTAAGAGATTCATGTTTATGCAAAATATCCATCAGTAAAACTAAATGAAAATTGAGGAAGGAAAAGTTTGGTATCTCCCTTCCGGATTCAGGAAGCCACTGCTTGCCAAATAACTTGTTTCTGTATGTAATTCCACTCCAAACTGGAAACAATAAACACAACATATCCAGCATCCAGTCTGGATATCTGCAAACAGAAAGTTACATAAATGAACACAAGTAATCAACAAGAGCCTCTGTAGCTCTTCAGCTAGAGGATTTACAAACGTACCAGGATGTTTGTAGGCATATTTTCAGTTTTTATATCACACGCACACAAAAGATAGTATGATTCCCTAGGCATTCTAAGACCAAGGGAAGGCTGTGCACACTGGCTCCAAGAGCCTTGATCTCTGATCTTCATTCCCAAGTCAGCAGAATACCGGAAGGGGGAAATCAATGTCTGGATGAATATTGACAGGGTCTTCCCCAAGGCTGGAAATCAAATCACCCAGTGTTCCTGAGTAAGTTAAAACATGGAAACAAGCTTCCCCTGCAAACTTTCTACCAATGGACAATAGTCTTAGGGTGCAATTCATAAGATAATGCAGAGTAGAACATTCCCTTTTCCATAAATTCCTAAAGGCAAAATGAGAATAACTTTCATAGATGACTTATTTGAGAAATAAAACATTCCTTGTCTCTTACTACCTTTTCTATGCTATCTCTTAACCATACGTTACAAAAGCAAAATATAATTACTATTTAGAACAACAACTCATAATCATTGCTCGTTGGAATCCAAAAGTCAGGGTACAATATTTTTTTTTTTTTGCAAAAAATAAATTAGCATTACAGCGCAAACATAAAAGTTAACATATCTGAATGATTATCCCAGTAATCTTTAAAATAAAAAGAATCAAATGTATATACAATTAAATATTATGTTATGGACATCAATTACAACTAAAATATTCAATGAACAGGATTATGGGAATTTTAGGCTAAATGTGGCAATGTGCACCAAACTATCTTTCCTGGGATTAATCAGCACTAGTATTAGAGATCTCAAATAAGTATGTAGGCTTTTATTTCAGGTAACCTGGACATTTTAACTGACCATTCAGAGTTCACATGAGATTTATTGTATAATTTATGGAAACAGAGATCCAGAATTACAGTCGTGCATCTAGCAACTTTCATCAGCATCTTATTCCAATTTAATATTTTTGCCCAAAATTGTACAAACGTAAACTCACATTCAAGATTCTCAATGTAGAGGTTCTCAAATTCTCTTTCTATTTGACCAAAAAGTTCCAGAAGTGTATTTCTAATGGATGATGGTAGCTTTGAATCCTAGGGTAAACAAAAATATCACAGTTAATGCAGAATTTTCCAAGACTTTGTTCTTTTTGTATAACTAGCCCTTTATGCAAAGTCTCCTATTTCCATTATTCCACAGTATAAGTTTCAAAGCATACTTCTATCCACTTTTTCTCAAATCATACTTTTCCACACAATGGACTTATACAAAGCTATGCTTGAAGAAAGGACAATTACAGGAATAATGGATCTGTAAACAAAGCCTTATTAAGGACACACACGCAAAGATTTCAGTAAATCTACAAAGAAGCAGAAATAGATTTTATACCTTAATGAAATAGCTTTATTTCAGACAAAAGAGAACAATCCATATGACTCAAACGTGGCAAATTTCTATTACAATAGTAGGCTCTGCCTTTAATATCACATAATGGTTAAGTTACTATTGGTGAGCAAACGTCCTGCTTGGGAGAAGGGCTCAAGCGAGAAGTTAGTCTGGCTGTTACATAAGTGCAAGAGGGCAAGGTCTGACCTCCCTGCCTTGAATGTCTTTAAGCCTTATCTAGTCTTTCTCAGGTGAAAGCTGCCAATCTGAGGAGATTCCTATCAAATAGGCATAGAACAATGAAGTTGCTAGTTTATATGTGAGGGTGTGGATGTTCACATCTGATAGTTTACTTGTTTTAAAACTTTGAAATTTTAAATCAATAATGGTGAGCAAATCGCAAAGAGCAAATCGGTATCCCTTAGTTCAATCCTACAGCAAAGACGAGATTTTACAAAGAGTTTGGTTGCAGATTTTGCTGTTGATTCAAAATTGTGAAAGAAAGTGACTTAGTTTTTAAAATTATGTTTGAAATGTAAATGTTCAAATAAACTTCCCTAGAGTAAACTTGCAGGAAAATGCTATGTATGTTGAAGCATTATACCATGTTTCTCATATAATAAGGCTGGGTCTTTTTTTTTTTTGAGCCCCGAAAAAATGGCTAGGCTATCTTTTCGGGGATGACTTAATTCCACCCCCCTTGCATCTTTGGGCGGGCAGGCAGCGACGGCTTGGATGTTGACCTCGGCGTTGGTGGGGCACTTCATATCGGGGTCAACGCAGGCAGTACCATATCCGGTTGTGCAACAAAAGTACTTCCTAATGGCAAGCCCCCCCACCATTCCCCCCCATTTCGCATGTTTTAATATAGGCCTTAATTTGGAGGGAGGGGCTTAATTTCATTTCATGCCTATAAAACATGCTGGGACTTCCTATTGGGGGAGGCCGTATTGTTGGAGAAACAGGGTATTATACTGAAGGGCAAAAAAATAAAAGACTAAGATAATAGAACTCAAGCCATGTCCCAAACAAAGCTCACATCTACAGAATTGAACTGAATCATATTTCAGGAAGTGTTATCTGCTACAGATTGAATTCATACTACTGCCAGAAAATGAATTACATACAGGTAGTCCTCGACATACAGCAGTTCATTTAGTTTCTGTATGTAATTCCACACTGAAGTACAACAGCACTGAAAAAAGGAATTTTGATTTTTTTTCACACTTATGACAGTTGCAGCATCCCCATGGTCACATGATCAAAATTCAAACACTTGCAAGCAGACCCATATTTATGACCATTGCACTATCCCGGGGTGATGTGACTCCCTTTTGACAAGCAAAATCAGTGGGGAAGCCAGATTCACTTAACAACCATCTGTCTAATTTAACAACTGCAGTGATTCACTGAACAACTGGGGAAGAAAGGTCCTAAAATGGGGCAAAATTCACTAAACAAATGTCTCACTTAGCAACAAAAATTTTGGGCTCAATTGTGGTCAGAAGTCGAGGCCCACCTGTATACTCAAGACATTGGACATTGTCATGACAGTAAGTGAAGAAACCCAGAGATATATCCAAGTATAAGAAGTATTTTCCCTACATCTGAACAGGAAATTTCAACCTTGCTTTGATATTGGATTTTAGGTTTGTTTTAGGACCTTGTAGAGAAGATAAAATTGGGGTATTAAGGGATTTTATCAGGATATTAATCTATTTTTATCAGAAATCAAGCTCTCTCTTTCCATCCAATTTACCTGGCCTTCCAGCATCTCTCTCTGCAATCCTGACCTCTCTTGTTCAGAACTGTTGGTTCTTCGTATAGAAAGACTATGAGATTTTCTTTTCTGCTTGGCTTGGCGAGCAGTGGCACAGCTTCCACTTTCTGTGGGCATTACTTCAAAACAATCACTTTCCAATAGCTGTAAAGATAAACTAAAGCCAAGTATTAAATATTATAATTTGATCTATGTAAGAAATTATTTTCTAAGTAGTAAATGTAAGGGAAACATTTAATCCTACTAAAATATATCATTGTGGTAAGATGTTACAGTAATGAATAATGAAACAGTGAAAAACCTTACTACACACATTTTAATATTATTTGCTAATTATTAAGCCATTCCATAAATACAAAAATCCCTTTGAATTATAACTATTTTCCAAATGCAAACCCTACAAAAAATCAAAAGTGCTTCTAAGAAACCCACATCTATATTCACTTCCACAACACAAATTTGAAGTCAGGAGCCTAAGAGAATGATGTCTGAATGGCAATGACAAGCAAATTATTTAGATTTAAAAACTGCATTAATGCCTTATTCTAAACTGTAACAATTTATAAATACAATCATTAATCAAATCTGTTCTATATCAAATTTCATGACCATAAACTCTACTGTAGAGATAAACTTCCCCAAAAGTTTTCAGCAATTAATCCTACTGGTACTATGAAATAGATTTATTAATGCTGTAATACTTTCCTCTATTAAGCCACCGTTATGCATCTTAAATTTTAATTCCATAAATGAATTTCGATTAAACTATCTAAATTACCTGACAGAACATTCAACCTCTCTCACTCATGCATGAACAATTTGGCTCCCTTAAACCATCAAACTATGTGACATTTTTGCAGTGTCAAGTGAACTGCACCCTATTTGAATCCAACACCATAGATGACCCCATTAAGCAAGGACCATTTTCCATCTCTTTACCTATCTCAAATTCAATTAGTTTTGGCTGCAATAATTAACAACTCTTTCTTAGAAACCTGAAAAGTAACTAGCATTTATGCAGCAACTTTCCTTGATAGCTAAATTAACTAGAAGAAAAAGTGCATTTATGATATATGATTTTCATGATTAGAAAAAATGAATAGAAAAAAAGTGAGGATTGTCGTAATCATAATAAAAGATAATGTTGCGATACTTATATTTGCTGCAGAAGAAACTGGAAGTTTCTTTCTATTCTTTCTTACATGTTTTTTTTCTTTTTTTTTTCTTTTTTATTAGCTTGTAGTTAGTTTGTGTCAGTTTTTACACTGCTTTTAAAACTTTGAATAAAATTTATTTTTTTAAAAAAACAGCAACGATTCTTTTTATAGGTAGGCCTTGCTTAATTATCTTAATCAAAACAGGAAGTTCCATTGCTAAATGAAGTGGTCATTAGGGAAAGCATTGTGTGATTGCATCACTTAGTGACAGTGGTTATAGTTGTATCGTTAGACTGGGATTATACTGTCAAAGATTTGCATTTCCTTCTTTCTGTACACACAAACCTCTAGCCTTGAGGTATGTAGTCAGTTCCTATCTTACAACATTAAAACTTCCTGTTTTCTGTTAATACTTTTCAATTCCACCTCAAAAAAAAAGAAACACCAGAAACCACAAGTAATATATAATAAACCTGGAATCTATTGTTTGTTACTTATGTATTACTTAAAAACAGTCTGTGCTATATAGATGATCCTCAACTTAGAACAATGATAAAACCTGAAATTTATGTTTGTAACGTGCCAGTTGTTAAGTGAGTCACCATGTAACTATAACTGATTTTACCTTTTTTTGCACTGGACATTAAGCAAAAATCATGGTCATAAAGCATTGCCCACAAAGAAGGTATTTTCCAGGAAACCAAAAGTAAACATCTGTTTCCGGCAAGTGGTCACGTGACTATGGGATGCTACAAATGACCGTAAATGTGAGCCACTTGCCAAGAGCCATAACGTCATCATGCAACTAGGGGAGAGGGTGAACACAGCTGTTGGAACTTTGAATTGAGCTCCTAAGTGTTTCTGAATGGTCACTAAGCAATTGGTTGTAAATTGAGGACTACCAATAATCTTATAGTGAGATTTAGACAGACAGCTTAAACATTAAAAGAGAATCAGACCAGGCATAAGACTAAAAAAAAAAACCATCCATTTTGAGAACCAGATAAAATTACTTACTCACAAAGTGCTAACAGCTTAGACAGCTAGACATTATCACTGTGTTTTACAATACTAACATCCTATCACCCATGATCATGCATCAGATGCATAAATATCAGTAATATATACAAAAATTAAGGACATCACTGGATACAGCAATGTAGATTATTTCACAACCAGTATAGATTATTCCACAAATTAATACATCACAAAGACAAAGCAGAAAAAGTTTCATGTATAAATAGCTCTAGATATAGTTTATACTCTTTTTCAGGCTGCCATCCTATATTCACTTATATTAATGTCAATAGTTATTTTTCATTCAATACTAATGGTTAAAAGTTTGTGAATCCTTTTGAATTTTCAGTATTTCTGCATATATGCAGGTAGTCTTCGACTTACAACAGTTTGTTTAATGACTGTTCAAATTTACAACAGCACTGGAAAAATGACTTACAACCCCTTTCCACACTTACTACTGTTGTGGCATTCCCACGATCACATGATCAAAATTCAGACGCTAGGCAACTGACTCATATTTATGACAGTTGCAGTATGCCAGGGTCACGTGATCTACTTTTGTGACCTTCTGATAAGCAAAGTCAATGAGGATATTATAAGCACATTACTATCTTACTGTAATGATTCACTTAACAACTGTGGCAAGAAAGGTCATAAAATTGGGCAAAATTCACTTAACAATTGTTTCACTTCACAATAGAAATTTTAGGCTCAATTGCAGTCATCAGTTGAGGACTACCTATTTAAGGTCTATCTATCTTTTGATGGATTGAAAGCTTGCAACTTACCAGTTTGTAAGTCTCAAAATTAAGCCTCTTTCACAGGCAGCTTACTCAGCTTGCTCAGACCACCTCAACATTGATGCCTGCCAAAAGACATCTGTAAGACTATACAATTCTGTTTAATGGCAACCAGTTGCATGGTTAAATCAAAGTGCCACATGCTTTCATTACATATGAAAGATCTAAACTCACTATATTTTGACATGAATGTAGGGTAGGAAATTCTAGCAGGCAGAGAAGTAATATTTAATAATAGCCCAAGTGTCACAACCAGGTCGTAAGGCATAGGAGATATTAACTGCAACCCTACCTAATAGCATTTTCATGACACTGTTGCAGGCAAAGAGTGCTACTATGGCTTTTGATGGAATTTACCAAAGGCATATTTTGGTTTTTATGATGATTGAGCAAATGGATATGGGAAGGGAAAGGTGGCAAGACTACTCCTGCTAAGAAGGCTTCTCTGTTTCAGCAAACTTCCCAGGATGTTGTTTTCTTTTTAAAGACCTCTCATCTTTTCCTCAAAGGAAGCATACTCTCTACTCTTTTCCTCCTATTTTCCACACACCCACCCACAAAAATTATCCTGTGAGGTAAATTGGCCTGAGGAAGTACCTATTCCAAAGGGAGTTTATGTGGCTGAAGATGGAGTAAAACCTTAATTTATGAAAAACTTCTATTGCTCTGCCCTACTGACTCTACTAGATGCAGTTGTATAAAACACTTTACTGTGAAGCTTTAACCAGATTTCTATCTTCATTCCACTATTGCTCCCTCAAAATATACACCATGTCTGATATGGCAAGAGAGATTAAAATATTTATGTTCATCTGAATGACACTGACTCACACAAACAATGGTATTTTTTTCTAATTAACTAATAGTACATTGGAACTACAATTCTTCTTTCAAGAACCCAAACGATGTTTCTTTTTGTCGCCTGGAACTATTTTCCCAAAATATTTAAGTATATATAGGCAACTTTTGGATGTATGTGAACCACATCTAGAGACCTGCTCCACCAATAAGCAGATAAATCATTTTGTGTGGAGTAATGTCTCTAGATGCCTACAAATCTTAATAGACGTCAACTTATTCTCTCCCGGGACTATGGCTGGTGCCAGATCTGGACCAAACAGATGACATGCTAACCCAGTACCTAGAAATTGCTAGCTCTGGATAAGAAGAAAACATTGGCTTTGAGTTTATAAATGAAATAAATCCAATACCATATTTGATTCTGAATCTAGTTGTACTAATCTGCTCAAAGGTAATCAACAAACATGGGAGTCCTCTTGAATGTACAGTACACTAGGAAGCCCTGTTCAGAGTAATTAATGTTCTAGGTACCTCTCATTTGGATTGCAGTAATGCACTTCTCAGAGTGCTATCCTTAATTTTGGCATTCAGAATGGCTATGGCTGTTTCCCATTATATTCAGGTGACAAACAACCCCCCGTTCCCACTGTATTGGAAGCTGTATTGGTTGCCAGTTGGGTTCCGGGTACAATTCAATATGGTTTTGTCATTTTTAAGACTATGCCTTGGACCTGGTTATATACAGGATGTTTTCCCTTCGTCATCTGGCCATCAAATCAGATTAAATAGACTCAATACCTTCCAGGTCTAGTCTTCATAAAAATGTCATCTAATAGGATATAAGAAATGGGCCTCTTTTTTAGGGCAGTGGCCCTATGCTTTGCAAACGCCTTCTCTACGGAGATCTGATTGCCAGATGGGTTTCAGAAGAGCCATTAAGAGTGTTATTTTCCATTTATCTCACATATGGAAATAATGGATAGTGACACTTATTAGCAGATACCTGACTAAGATTTATTTTTGTCCCTGGTGGTATTGAATGAGGGTTTTTTTCAATTCTTCTTCTTGGGTGGGTTTATTATTTTTTTTTGTTGGGAGGCTCCTTCTTTAGATGTTTTGTGAACTGCTCAGAGCCCTTAAGAATGGCAGAATACAAATCAAGTAAGTAACTTTTTAGCATTATCAGATGAGAATCCAGCAACTCTCCACCCAAAATGATACAGACACTCTGATTTAGCATTATATTTTCTTGAATATGTCAGCATATGATTCTTTAAATACTGTTAAGGTAGGCCACATCAAGAAATAGACATGATAGGATTTAGGAGTATTTTTTAATTGTACTAAAGTAGAATTATCTTGAAGTTTCTTTGTCCCATCTTACGGAAGTAAAATTAAGAGTTTATCTTGGCTCTGATGTAAGAACTGTATATTTTTTCTTTTGCAAGTCACTTTTAATGGCTTGTTCATCTTTTCCCTATCCCCATGGTCAGCTATAAATTCCTTTTCAAACACTCACAAGTGCAATTCATTTATATAAAAATAGATCAAGTGCATGATAGAAAATCACTCACTTTAAATAATTCACATATTGATACATTTTACACATGAACTAGAAAAGTATTCTGCACAATAACAAAATAAACAATTGATAATTATATATCATTTCTTGATGAATGCTTTCTATATTCAAGTAAAGTATAATCAATTTGCTTTAAATGTTCCATGAATAACAAGATCAAGCTCAAAACTCTAGCAATGGTGCTCTAAGGTTTCCCTCTTAAATTACCTAACACAGAAATAGCTGGTATTCTCATAATCTTGCTTATCAGAGGTTTGACAGTGAGAATGTGTTATGTAATGAAAAGAGGGAGGGGGAATTCCACTGGCATATCTGATCTGAAAGCTAACAGACTATCTTTGGTTGCCAGAAGTGTCAGAACACGGAAAGGATGACTAAAGCAGCCAGCTTCCTTTCTTGTTCCTTGAAAATTACATAAAAATAGGAAAAGTAGTAGAATGAATATGCAAACTGAGACAAAATTTCTATTCTTTTCTGTTTCAAACTGTGATTTTGGACCTAAATTTCAAATAGAATTATTATAAAATTACACTTTCAAAAGACATGCTGGAATAAAAGGATGCAATTTGCTTTTTAAAATGTTGCATCCTTAATGCAACATGAAAGATAACAAGATTTTCAGAGGGAAGCTGAGCTACACTCTGCAGTAAAAGCAGAAGACCTTTGGAGAGTCTTCTGGACCTTAAAAAAATCAACTCCTTTTATGGTCTAAGCCAGTATTTCTCAACTTCAGAAACTTTAAACTATGTGGACTTTAACTGCCAGAATTCCTCAGCTGCCTGGTCCTAACAGTGAAAAATGTTATATACAATTGCATACTCTGAAAAAGAATGAGGATTGCAAATCAATCTAGATAAACTAGTTCTTCAACAATTTGCCAGAACTTCTACAATAAAATTGATTCTGCTAATCAAATAATCAGTTGTTCAGCAATATTTTTCTCTCACCTGAATGCATTGGAAGTTATAGAGCTTCCTTTTCCAGTTTGGTACCTAAAAGATTGTTGAATCCCTGAATTCCTAGCCAACATCCCATTTTGGTTGGCATTTGAGAAATGAAGATATTTATGGGAGCCTTAGTGGGAAAGGATCACTTTTAAAAGGGTGAGCACAGTTAGCCTTTCTCAACAAAGACAACAGCAAATGATTTTCCAAGGTATAACTACACAACACTAATTCAGTTACAACCATATGACTTGACACCAGTTGCAAAATGCCAATCAGCACACTGAAGTGCGGCAACGGTTTACTAAACATTTCAGATTAGTTAAGCAGTGGACTTTTGTTTGTTTGTAGAAACTCTATTTGCTGTCTAATAAATTGACCATGACTATAACTGACATTAAGTAAACGCTCAAGGAATTTTTTTTAATCATTTAAATAAACAATCACTAAGAAATTAGACCTTCCACATACCGTAGTTAAATTTCTGTAACAAATGAGCCACCAACTTTTACAGTAATCACAAAATGGGGGTTCAATTACAATCTGGAGTGCTAGGTGGAGAGTTCCAACTTAATTCCTCTCTTCTAGAAATCTGCATTCCTATCTTTCTAGGCAGAAAAAAAGAGCAAACAGTGAATTACCACAACTTTTTTTACAATGCTTTTTAACATTGACTCTATTGCCAATTTAATAATATTGGTTTAGCAGCTTTATCTCATGGAAAGGCAATTCAAGCACATTTGAAGAATGTTAACGTTTATTTTACAAATGTTTATATGACATTTCATCTGTGTGTAGTTAGCAAAGTCCTCATGTGTTTAAATAGATTTGTCATAATACAGATAAAAGATAACATTTCAAAACACTGTGCCAAAAGTGATCTCACAAAGGAGCTGGCACTATACTTAATTCACTGACAGATATGATTTACAAGTTTATATTAAGTAAAGAAAAAATGCTGGAAATAGCACTGAACATATGTTATCCATGATGCCTACTCAAGTAAATTCTCTCTCTTCCACTTCACACATGGCTAAAAGACAAGATTGAGCCAGGTACACTTGAGTTGAAGAGAGTGACAACCAATGCAAAAGTGAAAGAAAAGCAAGATATATTTTAAATGTGTTTAATGGCAAAATAGTATTCGTAGTAAGAACAGCAATTGATTACCAGTCTAATTTATTTTCTCCTGTGCTGTTAATGCTGGCCATAATTTCTGAGCCACTATAAAATCTGACAAAATAGAACACTTTACAGGAGTGAAATGTCAGCACCAAAACATCATCACAACAACAAAAAGATGAAATAGCTTCATAATAAAGAACTTTAATCTAGAATAAGACCCAATTGGCAAAGTCAAAGAAGTGTTACAGAAAACCCAGGTCACACACTGCTGAAATATTAATATAGAGCATTGAAAGTAAGCACTGTGCATATTGTAGGACCATAGTCTCCCATAGAAACTAATATGAGCTTTTGATAAGCACTATAAATAAAATGCCACTAGAACCGTATGGACACAAGTTACACAAAATAAAGTTGTACAGTATAACATAAATCAGAAGTACTTTGTGATGGATCTCAGCATCAAACAAATCATCTTCCTTGGAGGCCTTAGAGAAACCACATATTTTACAAGGCTCATTGAGTTACTTGGAAGCTTTCTTCAGCTGTTTGTGTCTCCATGGTCATACAAACTGGTTCTGCTAAGACTGTCAAGGGCTTTGGACAGCCTTAATGAAGGGTATTTACATGTGGAGCACTAGATGTTTGCTGTCTATGAAACCAAAAAACAAGCACACTGAAATATTTATTTTATGTATTTAATGTCAACTTGTAAAACATTCCTATGCCTGTTTCCAAGTTGCCATAAGAAAGAGGGGATAAAAACCCTAAAGGAGCATCCAGCAAATGAACTCAGAAGCATATTCCAAGCTTATCTCACAAAATTGTAACTGAGGCAACCAGGTATTCTGGGCTCGAAAATCCTCTATTGGACAGCATAATTGATGACACCCAACCCATGGATGTGTTTGGCTGGACAATCTGAATTATGATACACCCAGAGGGGTGGAGGGAAACAGGGTCATAGGTGACTGTAAATTACGTATCTCAAAGTCGGCTTCATACAGGTCATGCCAGTATGTCACTCCTAATAAATCCTTTGAAGTTTTTTGAAGTTTGGCTCGAGGCTCATGATTTAATCAGGGCGATCTCTGGAATCCTGACATTTAATTTGTATGCCACTCATCTCACTGTCCAAAATATAATAAATACAACAGTGAGGAAATAATTAGAAGCAGATCGCTCTTACTTCAGGATGAAAGATCTTAATCTTCACAAGCTTGAGCAATCAGTACAGATAGTTCTCAACTTACAATCACAACTGACCCCAAAATTTCTGTTACTAAGTTGCTAAGTGAGTTTTGTTCCATTTTACCTTTCTTGCCATCATTGTTAAGTGAATCACTGCAGTTGTTAAATTAGTAACATAGTTGTTATAAGTGAATCTAGCTTCCCCATTGATGTTATTTGTCAGAAGGTTGCAAAATATGACCCCGGAGACACTATTATCACCTTTTGCAACCTTCTGATAAGCAAAATCAATGTGGAAGCCAGATTCATTTAACAATGGTTTTACTAATTTAGCAACTCCAGTGATTCACTTAATAACTTTGGCAAGAAAGGTCATAAAATGGGGCAAAATAACTTAACTGACTCGCTTAGCAATAAAAGTGTGGGGCTCAATTGTGGTCGTAAGTCAAGGATTGATGTATTGTAAATTCTATGTCAACTATTAAGTCATTTTCACTGCAGTTCAAATACATTTAATAAATAGTACTTCAAATTACTTATAACTGTAGTTATTTATCTTGACAGTTTGTTTATTGTTACATTTATTAGTCCACAAGGAGGTTCTTCATTAATTTTAATGTTTTCAAAATTCTGACCATCATTGTAGTTCAAAATAAAACTCTTATCTGGGGAAATAAACATAATGAGAATAGCATGTAGATAATGTTAACAGGCATTTATTTAACAATTACTATGCTAAATATTTAATATTATGAAGTAATTACTAATTTCAATAAAGTTAAAAGATACCTCTCATATTATCCATTATCCATTTTTATATGAAACAAGAAAATTTTCTATATTTCTCATTATTCCTTATTTTCACATTATGAGGATGCCAAACATACATACTGAAAGTAAATAACACAATTAAATAATAAAGCACTGAACTTACAGCATCCCTAATTCAGAAAAGAAGTGCAAGAATCTGAACCAAACATTTCATTGAGTGATCATAGCACTCATTTTTTTAAATTAAATGTGTACCATAACTTGGCATTTTAACATTTTTAAATCTTATCAGGAAATGCAGAAGCAAAATCTGAGGCATCTGAACACTGAGCATATATTCTATCACTGACCAAAAATTTTATAGTACTATAATGTTTTTTTTAAGCATTATTTGAGCTGCACAGTTGGGTCTACCTAAAATTCAGATATTGAATTTTAACAAATCCTCAGATTATGAAAAGATGTCATTTTATTACAGAGATTATATATTTGGTAATTTTATCAGCTCATTAAAATACCACAGGTCAGCTAAAATGAATTGGCTGTGTACCCAATACTAATTTCCTAACTTGCCTCAATTGTTCATAAAGGATATGCCTTGGAGCAAGCATTTGAGTTAACACCCTTTTTCAAATAACAGTGAGTACTTTTAAAATATTTTTCAGAAGAATGGAAGGAAGGAGACCTTCATTTAACTTTGAATAGCTAATCTGACTATATACGTATGTGTGTGTGTAGTATATGTGTGTGTAACTTTGAACAGCTAATATATTTATATACTTACATACATGCATACTTATAGACATATACATACATACATACACATACTACGTATATGCACATACTATATATACATACATACACACACACATATTCGGGTCAATTACCTTTTCCTTTTTCATTCTCTCTAAAGTTACATTACATTCATATATGGCAAAAATCCCTAAGTACTTCTTTATAAGACTAATCTCTTCTCACAGGCAAGGAAAAGACTGAAACATGGATAGTAAGAGAGAAAGAAAATTCCAAATGAAGAATCGTTGTAACCTTAGTACCAAATCATCAGGAAAGCGAACAATTGCTCCTGAAAACCACAAATATTTGTTCTCCCAAATCTCCTCATCAGCTAAAAGGCCATATGGTAAAAGCTATGGGTCCAATCATCCCCAGCTCAAGAAATATAAACTCCACCATCTCTAGCCAAATTGGGCGGGGGTGCTCACTGGATGGGAGAGACGGAGGGCTATAATCCAATGCCCTTACAAAGGCATGAGGGCAAAGAAGTTGAGACCCATGGGAGTTGTAGTCCAACGGCTCTCCAAAGGTGCGAGAGCACCGTCACCGCCTCAGGTTGCCTCCTTTCCCCATCCCAAAATAGACCCGGCAGCCTCGCCTGTCAGTCTTCCCCACGCCGCGCAAAAGGGGAGGGGAAGGGAAGGCAAAAATCCGGAGGGGTTCCCCCCTCCCGCCCCCCGAAGGCTCACCTGAAGCCCAGCTGAGAAACGGAGGGGGCGGCTCCCGAACCCGGAGCGGGGAGAGGTCACCAAAAGGCGGAGGCAGGAATACGGCACGAAAGTGGTGAAGGAGAATGGACGCCTGGCAAAAGAAGATCGATAAGGAGGGAAATTACGAGGAGGACGCCGCCGGCGGGTGAGCTGC